GAAAAACACAGGCTTTGGTAGGTCAGCCAGTAAGGAAGGCGAAACTGATGTCTGGAAAACCCAGGCCACCATTCTGGTTGGAGCTGTGGGTGTGTTCGGTGCTAAGCTGCCTGGCAGGGGGACTTCTCTGGTGAGGGTCAGTAATCCCATCAGGAGGCAGTCTAGCTGGAGGTTTTCAGGGAGCTATGGAAGGAGGAGGGGGGTGATGAGGTGACTGGAAGCCCCAAAGAGAGGATTCTAGGGTGCGGATGCTGTGTGTGATAGGGGCTGTGTGTGTGGACGTGGAGAGGGGAAAAAGTAGGGTTGGGGCAAAGACTGGGGCTTATGAGAGATGGAGGGGAAGGAGAGCTGGGTCTGAGGGGTGGAGCTAGGTCCAGAGGTCAAGGTTTGGGTTACAAACATTTCAAGGGTGGCAGCTACCATGGGCAGAGGTGGGAGTAGAGGCCAATCCGAACATGGGGGTAAGGAGGACTCTTGTCAGGCCCCCAGAAGCAGGATGGGAAATAAGGAGAGGAGCGGGTAGTGGCCAGATTAGAGTCTTTGCAAGGAAGGGATTTTGACCTTTGTTCTGTAGGCTCTAAGAGCTACTCAAAGATTCTCAGCAGGGGAGTGATGGGACCAAAGCAAGTCTTGTAAGAAGATGCACCTGGATGTTCTTTGCAAACCAGGGCTTGGAACTTTAGGTTTGGGACATCGAAGAGGTCACAGTTATAATTTGAACAAGCCCCTTCTGGTGGGAAGGGATTTGCAGTCTGATGGTTCGATAGCCAGCCCAGGCTATTCTACCACAGTCTACCAGGTGCTCATCAAGTCATTTCTGAGCGCACCACACAAAGCCTAGAGGACTGGGTAGGCTATTCCACCAGGTTTTCTTCTACCAGGAATCTGTTCTGATTCTGTGGTCCACACACATCTCCAAGGACCTTAAAATGACCCTCTGAAACCTTATGCAGGGGCCCATCCCCCAGGCCTGGAACCTAGCTACTCCTGCATCTGTGCCACCTCTAACAATGGTCTGGGTGACTGCAGTGATGGAGGCCTCAGGGGCTTCCAGGAGGATTTAGGTGAATGAAGCAAAGGTTCTGCCCTGAGAATATCAGACTCAAGTGCAGAATTCTGGGCCCACCTAACTCAAAGTGTGGAGCATGCATAGCGGTTATGTGATTCAGCGGACATGAGCTAGAATCTCAGACCTGCCACTCACTTGCTGGTGGATTATCTTACTTCTCTCATTCCCAGTTTCCCTACCAGTAAAATGGAGATAATGACAGGACCTCCCTTATGAGGTTTCATGAGGATTGAATGGGGCAGTTCACACCAAGAGCTTTGCTCAGGATCTTACACACGGTTGCTGGTAGAAAGACATTCACTAACTGATGTTGTTCTTGTTGTTCACTCAGTCATGTCTGACTCTTTGCAACCCCATGGACTGCAGCACACGAGGCTTCCCTGTCCTTCACCATCTCCCAAAGTTTGCTCAAACTCATGTCCATTGTGTCAATGATGCCATCCAACCATCTCATGCTCTCTTGTCCTCTTCTCCTCCTACCTTCAACCTTGCCCAGCATCAGGGTCTTTTCCAGTGAGTCAGCTCTTCACATCAGGTGGCCAAAGTATTGGAGCTTCAGCTTCAGCATCAGTCCTTCTAGTGAATATTCACTAGAAGTTGGTTGATTTCATTTAGGATTGACTGGTTTGCTCTCCTTGCTGTTATAATTCAGTAAATATTTAGTGGGTCCTGCTATGGACTGAATTGTTTTCCCTCCAAATTCACATATTGAGACCCTGGCCCCCCTAAAGTGACTATTTCAAAATGGGGTTTTTAACAGGTGATTAAGATTGACTGTGTGGATCACAGAAAACTGTGGAAAATTCTGAAAGTGATGGGAATACCAGACCACCTGACCTGCCTCTTGAGAAATCTGTATGCAGGTCAGGAAGCAACAGTTAGAACGGCACATGGAACAACAGATTGGTTCCAAATAGGAAAAGGAGTACGTCAAGGCCGTATATTATCACTCTACTTATTTTACTTATATGCAGAGTACATCATGAGAAACTCTGGGCAAGTTGGAATCAAGATTGCCGGGAGAAATATCAATAACCTCAGATATGCAGATGATACCACCCTTGTGGCAGAAAGTGAAGAAGAACTAAAGAGCTTCTTGATGAAAGTGAAAGAAGAGAGTGAAAAAGTTGGCTTAAAGCTCAACATTCAGAAAACTAAGATCATGGCATCTGGTCCCATCACTTCATGGCAAATAGATGGGGAAACAGTGGCTAACTTTATTTTTGGGGGCTCCAAAATCACTGCAGATAGTGATTGCAGCCATGAAATTAAAAGACGCTTACTCCTTGGAAGGAAAGTTATGACCAACCTAGACAGCATATTAAAAAGCAGAGATATTACTTTGCCAACATAGGTCTGTCTAGTCAAGGCTATGGTTTTTCCAGTGGTCATGTATGGATATGAGAGCTGGACTATAAAGAAAGCTGAGTGCCAAAGAACTGATGCTTTTGAACTGTGGTATTGGAGAAGACTCTTGAGAGTCCCTTGGACTGCAAGGAGATCCAACCAGTCCATCCTAAAGATCGGTCCTGGTTGTTCATTGGAAGAACTGATATTGAAGCTGAAACTGCAATAGTTTGGCCACCTGATGAGAAGAGCTGACTGATTGGAAAAGACCCTGATGCTGGGAAAGATTGAAGGTGGGAGGAGAAGTGGACAACAGAGGGTGAGATGGTTGGATGGCATCACCGACTCAATGGACATGGGTTTGGGTGGCCTCTGGGAGTTGGTGATGGACAGGGAGGCCTGGCATGCTGCAGTTCATGGGGTTGCAAAGAGTCAGACACGACTGAGCAACCGAACTGAACTGAAATGAACTTCCAAAGCAGGGGGCGTGGGTTTGATTCCTGGTCTGGAAGCTAAGATCCCACATGCCTTGTGGCCAAATAAACAAAATATAAAACAGAAACGACACTGTAACAAATTTAAGACTTTAAAAATGGTCCACATTAAAAAAAAAAGATCTAAAAAAAAATAAAAATAAGTAAGCTACAGGGATATATTGTACAGCACGAAGAATATAGTCAATATTTTATATTGGATGTATAACCTTTAAAAATTGTGAATCACTGTGTTGTAACACCTGAAACTTATACAATATTGTACATCAACTATACCTCAATTAAAAAAATTTTTTTAATTAAAAAAAAAAGATTAAATGAGTTCATAAGGATAGGGTCCTAATCCTATTGGGTTGGGGACCTTATAAGAGGAAGAGAGATACCTCCGTGTGTGTGTGTGTGTGTGTGTGTCTGTCTGTCTGTCTATCTATCTGTCTCCGTCTATCTCTATATATATATACAGGTACTGAAGGGAAGCCAAGTGAGGACACAGTGAGAAGCAGCCATCTGTGTCATGATCTCAGGCTTCCAGCCTCCAGAACTGTTAGAAAATATTGACAAATATCTAGTGTTGAAGGCCTCCGGTCTGTGATGTTTCACTATAGCAGCTTGTGCTATGATACCTCCTACCTGGCACTCTGGGCCAGATGCTACAGCCCTGAGGGATTAAAAAGACAAACGTGGATTCTTGAGGAGGTGATAATTAAGGAGGGGATTCCCTGCGTCGGGAAGATTCCCCTGGAGAAGGAAATGGAAGCCCACTCTAGTATCCTCACCTGGAGAACTCCATGGACAGAGGAGCGGAGCCTGGCGGGCTACGGTCCGTAGGATTGCAGAGAGCTGGACGGTCCATAGGATCGCAGAGAGCTGGATGGTCCATAGGATCGCAGAGAGTTGGACACGACTGAAGCGACTCCACACAGCACACAGGAGAGGCGCACATGAAACTATGCAAGTGCGAGTCATGATAGGAAACACTCTGAGCAAGCAAAGTTGTGAAGGCTCTGGTCTCGGGCTCCAAGAGAAGTGATGCTATTTAGCACACGTGTCAGAAAAAAGCCCTTGCTTCCGGCAGCCTGAGAGTCTGGAGCATCAGGGAAGAGAGGGTGCCATGGGGGTATGGTGGAAGAGGGGACAGCGTAGCGATCCAGAGAGGACTTCCAGGCAGTTCTGGGAACCGATTGATGGGCAAGGATGTAGTTGGGACACCCAGGGTTTTCAGAGACCCTGGGCACCCACACAGGAGGAGGAAGTGCATCTGAGGACATGGGGCAGAAGATTCTGATGGGAATAATGCTGGAACCCACTGGGTGTTTGGGTTTTGGCGCATCAGTTAAGAGAAGTGCTGGCTGCCAGGGCTGAGAGGCAGAGGAACAGAATAGGAAGCTGGCAAGGGGCTGGCATGTAATCTCCACAGCCGTGGGCAGAAGACTCATTTAGGGGACATGGCAACAGGCTCTGCCAAGGGAGGGTGATCATGACTCAGGCTTGGGAAGTGCCTGGTGCCATGCCAGAGGGTGTGGTGGCAAAGGGCCAGGGCCGGCACGGCTGCCCCAGGACAGGTCGGTGGCAGTCGGGTGGCCAGGTGGTCCAGGCAGGTGTACCCAAGTCTGAGGGTCAGAGTTACCATCTCCAGAGTTTGGCAAATCTGACCCTAGGGGTCAGGGGGCCTGTGGAGGTGGCAGTTATTCTGGCAATTCAGTTACCTCAGGCACTGACTGCCTAACTTTCGCACCCTCGGTGTGGGCTTCATACAAGGAAGGTGTTGAGCCACCTGTAAAGGAAAGTAAAGATGGAGTCGGTATCGCTAAGAGAGCTGTCTAAAACGGAGCCAGGACAATCCTCTGGTGGCCTGGCTGGGGAATTTCTTAACCATCTTGATCTTGTTCCTCTCTTACCTTTTTCTTCACTTGACTCATCATGTAATTCTGAGCTACTGAAACAGAAATTTGATTGGTCTCTTCTTCCAGTATTTTCCCTGTCAACTATTCTATACAGATTATGCCCTGGACATCTAGAAAACTGATAGCATAAAGGATTTTCTAAAAATAAGAGGGTAAAAGTCACATAAAAATCCTACCGCAGGGAACTCCCTGGCAGTCCAGTGGTTAGGACTCAGCGCTGTCACAGCCGTGGCCCAGGTTCAATCCCTGGTCAGGGAACTGAGGTCCTGCAAGCTGCATGGCACAGTTAGTAAAATAAAATGAAATGAAAGTGGTGCCAGGGGGCCAATAGTTCAGTCACTCAGCCATGTCCAACTCTTTTCAACCATGTGGGCTGCAGCATGCTAGGCCTCCCTATTCTTCACCAACTCCCGGAGCTTGCTCAAACTCATGTCCATCACATCAGTGATGCCATCCAACCATCTCATCCTCTGTCATCCCCTTCTCCTCCCACCTTCAATCTTTTCCAGCATCAGGGTTTTTTCCAATGAGTCAGCTCTTTGCATCAGGTGGCCAAAGTGTTGGAGCTTCAGCTTCAGCATCAGTGAATATTCCAATGAATATTCAGGACTGATTTCCTTTAGGATGACTGGTTGGATCTTCTTGCAGTCCAAGGGACTCTCAACAGTTTTCCCCAACACCACTGTTCAAAAGTATCAATTCTTCAGTGCTCAACCTTCTTTATAGTCCAACCCTAACATCCATACATGACTGCTGGAAAAACCATAACTTTGACTAGATGGACCTTTGTTGGCAAAGTAATGCCTCTGCTTTTTAATATGCTGTCTAGGTTGGTCATAGCTTTTCTTCCAAGGAGAAAGTGTCTTTTAATTTCATGGCTGTAATCACCATCTGAGGTAATTTTGGAGCCCCCAAAAATAAAGTCTCCCACTGTTTCCCTTGTTTCCCCATCTATTTGCCATGAAGTGATGGGACCAGATGCCATGATCTTAGTTTTCTGAATGTTGAGCTTTAAGCCAAGTTTTTCACTCTCTTCTTTCATTTTCATCAAGAAGCTCTTCAGTTCTTCTTCACTTTCTGCCATAAGGGTGGTGTCATCTGCATATCTGTGGTTATTGATATTTCTCCTGGCAATCTTGATTCCAGCTTGTGCTTCATCCAGCCCAACATTTCTCATGATGTACTCTGCATATAAGTTAAATAAGCAGGGTGACAGTATACAGCCTTGATGATCTCCTTTCCCAATTTGGAAACAGTCTGTTGTTGCATCCTGACCTGCATACAGGTTTCTCAAGAGGCAGGTCAGGTGGTCTGGTAGTCCCATCTCTTGAAGAATTTTCTACACTTTGTTATGATCCACACAGTCAAAGGCTTTGGCGTAGTCTATAAAGCAGAAGTAGATGTTTTTCTGGAGCTCTCTTGCTTTTTCTATGATCCAGTGGATGTTGGCAATTTGATCTCTGGTTCCTCTGCCTTTTCTTAATCCAGCTTCAACATCTGGCAGTTTACGGTTCACGTACTGTTGAAGCCTGACTTGGAGAATTTTGAGCATTACTTTGCTTGCGTGTGAGATGAGTGCAATTACATCCCAGCCTGGATGGAATCTGATCTTTTGACCTGACAAAATCATTCAGAACATCTGCAGAAACTCAAGCTACTTACTGGTGTGTGTGTGTGTATGTGTGTGCGACCCCATGGACTGTAGCCCACCAGGCTCCTCTGTCCATGGGATTCTCCAGGCAAGAATACTGGAGTGGGTTGCCACTTCCTCCTCCAAGGGATTTTTCCAACCCGGGAATTGAACCTGTGTCTCCTACATCGACAGGCAGCTTCTTTATTGCTGAGCCACTGGGTAATACTTACTGGCCCCTTACCCTAAAGTTTCTCTTAATATTAGGGTATATATCTTACAGATACCTGACTGCATAGAGCCCAAGGACAAATGGCCATTGTACAGGTTGTCATGTCGTTTGTGACAGCAAATGTTGTTAACAGTCTAAGCACCTGTCAACAGGTGACTGGTCCAATGCACTGTGCTGGGCTATAGGAATAGTATGCTGGCTTTAAAAAGAACATGGTAGATACAAAGAAAAAGCTCCATGAATTGTTCAGAAACATCACTAAGTGAAAAAAACAAGGTGTATAACAGGGTAAAAAGAAAAGACCTACAAAAATATGCTTGCATATGTGCAGAAAGTTTTGCGAGAAGACATAAGATGCTGGCCCTGGGCCAGTGGGGGGACTTCCCTGGTGGCTTAGATAGTAAAGAAGCCACCTGCAATGCTGGAGGCCACCTGCAGTGCAGGTAAACACAGGTTCGATCCCTGGGTCAGGAAGATCCCCTGGAGAAGGGAATGGCAACCCACTCCAGTATTCTTGCCTGGAGAATCCCGTGGACAGAGGAGCATAGAGGGCTACAGTTCATGGAGTCACAAAGAGTTGGACATGACTGAGCGACTTATATTATACACACTGTGACAGTGGGTGGGGTATGTGGGTGAGTCTGCCATGGCAGGGAAACTTATTTCGCATTGTGCTGGCTGACTTTTTACTCTGTAAATGTATTATTTTTCAGTTAAAGAAAATAAAATCCATCTCTTCCTCACGAATCCCGAGGGAGGAGAGCTGGGGGAGGTGTCACCTGGAATACCACCACCCATCCACATAAAGCCAAGCTGCCCCTTGGGATTTCACACACACCGTCCAGAGCCAGCGTTGTCTTTTTAATTTACTTAATCTTTATTCTCATAAAAGCAGTATGTGGTCACATAGGATAAAGTAGAAGGAAGATTTTCCGCCTAACTCTGCAATCTTTGTATTTGGTGATTTCTCAAGATAAAGCTTTTTCCATAGCTAGAAACAGCATTTCCAGTTTCCTGAGTTTGTTTTTTTTTTCTCTCGCTCTCTTTTTACTTAACCTTGTATTATGAATATTTTCCGGTGTCCTTAACAATCTTGGTGAAGGACCCTCATTGTCACTCATTGTTGTGAGTCTCCGTCACCAATTCTCCCCAAAGTTGAGCTTCATTATTCCCAGTGGCAGTTCAAGTCCATTTGATTTTCTCGTCTGTTTCATCTCCGGCAGAAGGGGAGAGTGACTCACTGCCAGGCCTGTGGTACTCCAGGGACGTCCTGGAGCAGAGTTCATGGACTCTGTGAGCCCATGGACCCCTGGGGAAATTGCATCCATTCCTGCTGAACTCGTTAGGACAGGAATCTGTGAACTGAGACTCTTGGAAAGCGACAAGCCGGGCAGCAGGTCACACACGACTCCTGGGTGGAGGGCGGAGTTCGAGGCTCCCCCTGGTGGCAGGGAATGATAAGGCTCGGAATCTGACCCCTTCAGGTTATTTCCAGAAATGACCCGAGTCCTGCCCTCTTTCAAACCAAGATTGATAAAACAACAGCGAGCGTCACTGACGCCATCTGCCGACTGGAGCCCCCTGCAACTGCTCTGGCCCTCCAGACACCAGTCAAGAGGGTCCCCTCTGAGACTCTGGCCGGGTTGACAGCACCTACCTTGCCAAGTACCTTACCTGACGCTACAGACCCCAGGCATTTATGACCGAGTGAGATTTGTGGCCCTGGCCTCCTCCTGTGTGTAACTCAGGGCCTGGTTTGTGAGGGGTGGCGTGGTGGGCGTGGGGTGAAGGTGGGGGCCTGGGCGGTGCTGTGAGCCAGGCAACACCTTCCCGCTCTTCAGGGGCCTGAGGCTTAGGGGCCTGGGAGAGGCCCAGCCAACTGTTCTGAGGACTGCTGGACCCAAAGGGAAGCCAATCGGTGTCTTCAGGAGCCTGGGGAGAGGATGTGGAAAGGTCCTCTCAAAGATGCCAGCCGCAGAAGTGGAGGAGTCAGCAGGTGGGGGAGCTGGGGGCCCGACAGACCCCCAGAGCAAGCGGGGAGCGGGGCTGGGAGAGAGAGGGCTGAGCGGGGAGGAAGACTTCCTTCCCAGCAGAGGGTCGAGGGTATGATCCCTCTGTAACAGTCGTCTCTGGCCTGCGATTTGAGAGGGGCCCATGGGGGGAGGTTGGAGAAGGAAGTGGAAACCCACTTCGGTATCTTTGCCTGAAAAAATCCCCTGAACGGAGGAGCCTGGAATGTTGCAGTCCATGGGGTCGCCAAGAGTTGGACAGGACTGAACGACTAAAACAACAAATAAACATGGGGGGAGGTAAATTAATCAGGGCAGAGGAGGGTGTCGCTCCTTCTGGGATGGGGGGCCCGACCCCCTTGACCTGGACCCCTGGCACCGGGAGGGATGGCGCTTGGTCACTGAAGGCTCGGGCCTCCCATCCTACCTGGTTCTCTGTGAGCGGCTACAACCCCCTTCTACAGTCCCAAGATGCCTTGTGTCACGTCTGCTGCTGCTGCTAAGTCGCTTCAGTCATGTCCGACTCCGTGCGACCCCATAGACGGCAGGTCTGGGGTGACGGAAATTCACTCCTCATTATGCTGGCCGAGTGAGCAGCTTTCAAACTTCATAGTCACGTATTTCCTTCTCTATTAGGTTCTCCAGAGAAACAATGCAAGTGCAATGCAGGTACACAGATTTATTTTCAGGAATTGGCTTACGTGATTTCAGAGGCTGGCAAGCCCCAGATCTGCAGAGTGGGGCTGCAGGCTGAGGACTCAGGGAGGAGCTGAGGCTGTGGTTTGAGTCTGAAGGCGGTTTGCTCACTGAATTCCCTCTTCCCTGGGAAACCTCCATCTTTTTCTATTAGGGCCTTCCACTGATTGAATGAGGCCCACCCGTGCTATGGAGAGCAATGGACTCAGAGTCTACTGATTCAAAGGCTAATCATTTCTATGAATATCTTCACAGGGACATCTAGAATAATGTTTGGCCAAATATCTGGGTACGCTGGCCCAGACACATTGACACATAAAACTATCTCAGCTCCTTTTGTTCTTGGTGACTCAGTAACCACTTTCACTCCCCCACTTCCTTCCCATAAGATTGTATGGTTGACACCAATTCTGCCAAGGCTGGTGGGGACTGCGGAGCCCTGGGGTACAGTAAAGTGCTTTGGTGAGCAAAGGAGGGAAGGGGAAACATGGTGATTAATACTTAGAAATATTGTCCACCATGTGTGAAGTGACCTACATCTCTACCTCCTCCTCCCCACCCCTCATCCTGACACCTGGGACTCCATTATCCTTCTCCTCATCTGACCCCCTTCCCAGACCTTGAAACCCACTCTGCTTCCTGTCCATGGTGGAAAGACCCCTGGACAAGTAGCTTCATGGTCCCACGGGAT